ACTGGTTTGGTTCAGTTTTGTTTTTGTTTGCTCAATTTTTGTCCAGTCGCTCTATCTCTTTATGACAATGGGGTTGTAAAGTCCCTCATTACAATTGTGTTATTGCTTATTTGATTTTTCATGTCTATTAATATTATCTTATGTAGTTGGGTGTTCCTGTATATGGTGCATACATATTTACGATTGTTATCTCTTCCTCCTGAAATTTTCCCCAACAAGTATGTAATTACCTTCTTTATCACTTTTAATCACTCCTAGTTTTAAGTTCACATTGTCTGCAAACAGAATAGCTACCTCTGATTTTTTCTGGGTTCCTGTTGCATGGAGTATTGTTTTCCATCCTTTGATTTTCAGTCTATGAGTTTTTTTTTCACTTAAATGTGTTTCTTTTCTTTTTTTCGGGGGGTATCAGGAGTTTCAGTCAGGACCTTGCACTTGCCAGGCAGATGCTTACACTGAGCTATACCCCCAGCCTTAAATGTGTTTCTTGCATGCAGCATATTATTGGATCTCATTTCTTGATCCATTCTTCCAATTTGTTTCTTTTGATAGGAAAATTGAGGGAATTTACCTTGATGGTTATAACTGATACATATTGGTACATCTTTGTTATGTTATTTTCCTGCAGTTGGTTCCCTGCTTTCCCCTTCTGTTTAATTACTTGCCTTCCCTGGTGGTTTCTTTCTGTTGTTGTTAGCATTGTGGTCATTTTTATCTCTTTCTAGAATATTTTTAAGTACTGTTTGTATGGTTGGCATTGTGGTCATGAATTTCTTCAGTTATTTTTCATGGGAGTATGTTATTTCTCCATTAATTCTGAAAAATAGTTTTGCAGGATACATCAATATGCATTGGAAAATGTTTTCTTTCAGAACTTGAAATAATTCACACCAAGTTCTTCCTGACCTGAGCATTTGTGTTGAGAAGTCTACCATGATTCTGGTGGGCTTTCCTTTACAGGCAATGTTTTTTTTCTCTAACAGCTTTTAATATTCGTGTGCTGAGTTTCTAGGATGTTTATTATTATATGCCTCAGTGTAGATTTATTTCAGTTAAGGCTAATTGAAGTTCTATATGCCTCACTTATTAGTATGTCAGATTTTTTGCCCATGCTTGGGGAATACTCTACTATTACTTCTGCAAATAGTTTTTTAAATGTCATTTGTTTTACTCTTGCTTTTTCATTGACACCAATTATTCATATATTATTTTTCTTTGTATTATATTTTAGCTGTTGAATTGCTATTTCCTGATCTTTTATTATTTTCAAGAGTGCAAGCTAAGATTCTGTCTTCAAGCACTGAAAGTCTGTCTTCATTTTCATTCAAGCAATTTTTCCAGCTTTCAATGGAATTTTTGATTTCCTAGATGTCTGTTTGAATCCATTTCATGCATTTTATTTCTTTTCTATATAGAGTATTCATGGTTTTCATCCACTTCCTATCATTGTCTACTTTTTATTTATCTCAGATTTGCTGAAAAATTCCTTTATAAATGTTGACATTTATTTTTTACATGGGAAGATAATTTCCAATCTAATTTCCTGTACAGCCTCATGGATTTATTTCTTTACTTTAGTTGCTATCATTTCAGAAATATCAGGTGTATGTCTTCCATTTTCTTCTATCTCATTGTCTCCTAGACTTGTTCTGGGTGGGCTGGTGGTCTGTGGTTTCATCTTGCTTTGGTATCTTGTCATTTTCTATTTCAAAAGTTTTTATTTTGTTTTCTGTGTTCGTTCTTGTAACTTTTTGTAGTAGGTAGCCATATCACTAGTATCAAGTCCTCTCTAGGAAAAATGTGTCCCTTAAAGATGTCTTCAGTATGTAAAATGTTCTTAGCTTGTGTTTCCTCCAAGATCCTACCTTCCCAGTTAAATAAAAAGGGAAATATTGGTATCTGTTTGGCTCAGTCTCCAGTTCTTTGGTGCTAGGCTGTGGTGACGTTATTAGCCTCAGGCTTCCCAGTATTGCTACAGAAGGAAAAACAACTGATTACAGTAGATATGATATCCTAGCTAATGTAATATAATTAGCAATAAAAATATCATCAAGGACAGATTAGAAACCAGCAAACTGTAGTAGCTATTCATTTTGTATCTTAAAGCATAGAAGTAAAATCTACAAATATATTATGAAACTGATTGTAAATTGGGAGCTTGTATTCAAAGTGTTTCCCTTTGATACAGTGGTTTCACCCTGTCGTGTGGAAATTTAAGAATAGTGGACAAAACAAAGATAACTGAAAAGAAAGCAGAAGAAAGGCTGCAAGACAAATGATGATCATGCAAACTTTGGGAACTAGAGAACAGAAGACAAAGAATGAGGGATTGAATTAAACAAGGGATTATCTGAACTTGTTCTCTGGGTTTGGGGGATGGGATTAGTTTTCTATGACTGCAATTCTCATCAACCACTTAAAAACAGAGAAAAAAGAAAAAGCAGAAAAGAAAGAAAAGGAAAAAAAACAACAGCAACAAAAAAAGAGACCAGGGCAGCCCCACCTGCCTACCCCTATTCCATGTGTCTTGCCGCCAAGCACAATGCTGGTTCACCTAACTTACCACCTGTTGGCTCATATCATTACTGTTGCTTTGGATTTTTCATGCCTCTAGTCCTGCCTGTCCACCTTGTGCTCCCTAGTTGGACCCCACTGTGTTGCTCACCCTCCCTCTGTCTCTAGGTCTTCTGGAATGAGTCACCTCCACTGTGGCAGCAGTGAGGGGCAGGGCCATTCTCTGGGCCTTCCCACATGGTTCACCTGAGTTGCAGCTGGGGTGATAGTGATGGGAGGGCGCACACGTCTCAGCCGGATCCCAGTGCTGGCAGAGATGGCAATGGAAGGGTTTTCCCTCCATGCTATTCACCCGGGTTGCATGGTTGAGATGGTGATAGGAGGGGCCCACATTGTTCACCTTGGCTGAACATGAAAGATGGCCTATTTTTAGTTTTTTAAGGAATCTCCATATGGATTTTCATAATGGCTGTACCAGTGTTCACTGTCACCCATAATTAAGAAGTATTCCTTTTCACCAGTAGTCTCTCGAGCATTGTTATTATTCAATTTCTTGATGATAGTCATTTTTTCTGGAGTAAGATGGAATCTCAGGATTGTTTTAAATTGCATTTCCCAAGTAGCCAGTGCTGTTGAACTTTCAAAAAAGTATCTGTTAGCCATTTGTACTTATTTATCTGAGAAGTGTCTTTTCTTTCAGATGTGCATTTCTTGACTCCCTTTAAACTAGGGGGTTCTATGTTTTTGAATTCTTTATATATTCTACATATTAGTCCTTTGTGAGAAGAATCTTAGAACTTTCCTCCCATTTTGTAAGTTGTCTCTTCACTCAGTTTGTGTCCCTTTGCTATGGAGAAGTTTTCAACTTGATGTGATCCATTTATTGGCTCTCACTAGCATTTCTTTTACAACTTGGGTTCTACTCAAAAAGTCTTTACCTATGCTTATTTTAAATAATTTTACCTACTTATTGGCAGATTAAGTATTTCTGTTTTAATATTTAAATCTGTGATCCATTTTGATTTCAGCTTTCTGCACGATGAGAAAACAAGTCTGAGTTCAACCGTCAGCATGTAGATAGCAGTTTTCTCAGCACCATTTTAAAGAGGCTATAGTTCCTCCAGAGAAAGTATTTTACCCATTTGTAAAACACAATGTAGCTGAATGTGTCTGGAGTTGTTTCTGCATCTTCTATTCTATTCCATTGCTCATTGATTCACAAACCTGTGCTCATGTTTCTGTCAATACCTGCAACTTTTATCACTGTATCTTTGTAGTATGTGATGTGAGGTCCAGGATTGCTGTGCTTCCTGCCAGGCCCTTGTTGCCCAAAGTTGCTTTTTTATTTTAGGTCTTTTCTGGCTTCATGTGAATTTTATGATTGTTTTCTCCAGTTCTGTGAGGATTACTATTGGTATTTCAATTGGAACTCCAGCATGTCTTCAAATTATATCTACCCATACTTCCTTCCATGTTTCCAAAACACTTCAAAAGAAAAATATAACCAGTAAACATCAACATAATCATAAAAATACAGTGACTTGGTGGCTCATCTGCCTTGTGACTAGAGCATAAAGCCTCTACCTACCTTGGTCAGTACCACAATAATATTTTTGTTTTGTTTTGTTTTTTATTTTGTAGGTAGTAAAATACAACAGAACAAAGCCAACCAAGACAGTGCAGTGAAATTGGTACAGAACTTCAGAGCAGGATACCAGGATAACAATAATAGGTATCATAGTATATCTTGCTATCTTCACAATAGTTGTCCATTCAATCAGGCATAGCAAAAACCAACTAAAAACACAACATTATAGAACCTATCAAAAGAATATTGAATAGAGCAAAACAATCAGAACAAAGCAAAACAGTGAAAACAACATTTGCCTTTAAAGAGATGATAGAAGGAAATCCCCTGTATTGGCTATATTGCATATGATTATCCTCCCAAGAGATGCTCAGATCTCTGGCTCCCAATTGCTAATGGGCAGGGAGGAGGATGGGATGTTTGACTTTTAGCCTGTGCATTAGTAGGGCTCACCGGAGATGCTGACTGATTCTATTTCTGGCTCACCCACTGGTTGCTTGAGCCATGTCTGCTTACCAGGAAGGTGGGTGGGTTTCTTTCTTGCTCAACGCCCTAATGATATCCAGTATGGCTGGATATCAGGAGATGCTGACTGGTTATCTTCATGGCTTGTCCACTGCTCAGTGGAGCCACAACCTCTTACCAAGAAGATGGGCAGGTTGCTTTCTTGCTTAACCTAAGTTCCTTGCTTCTTACCCTAAGTTCCAGCATGACTGGATCTAGGGAGATTATGACTGGTTCTCTTCCTGGCTCGCCTGCCACTCATTTGAGTCACCCACAGTAATCTTTTTTATCACAGGTATGTTGTACATATATTCTATATTCTAGACAATTTCTCATCCATCAGTGAATACCTATGATGAATAGGACTGCTGACAAATTTTTACTTCTTCAGCATTTAAGAGCAGCAGTTTGATGTTTGAGGATCTCGCAGCATCAGTATCAAGGGGCTGATGGTGGAATAACAGGCTGCCAGAAATGCATTTGTATGCTGCAGCCAGAGGCGAGATTTTAAAATGAGAGTACTATAAATGGTAAGAAAAGAATTGGTTAAATAAAACACAATGAAGGTGCTTGCTAGAATCAGGATAGTTTGAGTGGCTTTTGCCTCAGGGGAGAATCTATGGGATTTGTTGGTGCTGTAAATGTGCTTCACTGTCTGCTGATGTGTATGTAGGAGAAGCACCATGTAGGCACTGGCCCCAGCCATGAGTGCCAGGAACACAACATCTGCCAGTGTCATTAGAAATGTGTATCTTAGAGTACTTGTTTCAGAATCTCTGGAAGAACATAGACCATAGTCAAGTAGCTTGGTAGAGTTGTGGCCATGTTGAAGGCCCTCCATATTTATAGGAATAAAGATATTCATCAACAAGTTGAAGATCCAGCACAGAACACAGGAGAAACTAATGCTCTTCCAAGCTTGGTGGTTAAGGCCTATCATCCCTCCTGGTCTGGAGCTGATGGTGATGGCCTGAAAGTTGCTCAGGAGGCAAGTGGTGCAGAGAGAAAGGCCCCGGGCCACTCTGTGGATATAATAGACAAGTTTGCATCCTGCGTTTCCCAGAGTGGGTGTTATTCCCCAGATTAGCATCATGTGTGGAATCCCCTTGAAAAGCAGAACCAAGAAGTTGGCCACAGCCATGTGGGTGAGAATCAGGTGTGTGGGCCTTGGTACATGGCCCGTACAGGATGTAGGGGCATAGACTGAGAGAAGAAAGGAATTTCCCACCACTCCAATCCCAGTCTGAACCAGGAAAAGTAGCCTCAAGATGAAATCACCAGGATTCATTCTCATCGGATCACAGGAAGAACTTGTTCAGCACAGTTCAAAAAGCCATGGAGTCAAAATAGAATACATTTTCTATGTTCTCATTTTTGATAGGAAATTGTGGTTGCATGTAAACTCCCCTTTCTGAGATGCCAATTGCCTGTATGGGAAGAGGATTATGCACCAATGAGCTCAAAATAACTGCTCAGATTTTCCAAACTGATATGTTTATTTGAATACTTATATGGGTTTGTGATATGATTCCTTGTTGCATCTCTTCTGTGTCTCCAGACAACAGTCCACAATGTCAAGCTTTATCTGTCATATGAACATTTTTCTTCAATATCCACTATTTCTAAAACAGATTATAAGTCTTCAGATTAATTTATCTGGGTCATTGCCCCAGAGGTTGAGCCTATTATGGATGACACATGTATAAAATATGATTAAAGTAAAATGTAAATCAAGCCATGAAAGTAAAATCTAAATAGTATCAATGGCACATACATCCTGATTACAGCACTAGTGATTGTCTTGATTACTTTTCTCTGGTTGCTGGAACAAAATACCTGGTGCTCAAAATGAAGGAAGGAAAGATTTATTTTCTTACAGTCTTTGGAGGTTTTAGTCTATTCTCAGGTGGCTCCAAGACAGGGTAGTGTGGCTGAGGGGCAGCTGCTCACGGTAGCCACAAGTGACAAGAGCAAAAGGGCAAAAAGGGGGAAAGCACACTTCTCTCCTCCCCTATATCAAATGCAGGTTATCCACCCCGCATCAGGTGCAGCACTCATACCAACAATCCCAGCACTAGACAACGAACCAATCACAAACACCAGACTCAGGCACCTCCATGACTGCAAAGGCTTCGGGGGACCATTTAAACAAACAACAGTGATAATATGTAAAAAATTTATTTTATTAATTTTGTAAATTATTCCCATCATTTCACTAAAATCTACCTAACCCAAAACAGATAAACCCCAAATAGATATATATATATACGTATAAATGTATACATATATATATATATATGTATGTTAATGTATGTGCCCTGTCTCTCATGTATACTTCTAATCCTCTTCCATGATTTAACTTGTATCTCAGGTATGTATTCTTTAAAATGATTCTATGTTCTTACAAAACGTGAGTGTATTTCAGCAAACAATAACAAATATAGGATTAAACTTGATGCTTATGCTCAGGACCTTAAAACTTTCTTTCTTATTAATAACTGCATCAAAGATTACACTGAAACCATATAATAAAGACAATAATCATATGAGGTGATCCTGTGAGATGTGTACCAGGAAAGCAAAGACATATCAATATTATATGCTAATAAAATTCATAATTTTGATGCTGAGAAAAAAATTATATAATTTTCACTTCATGCTTTTTTAAAAGCACTTGAGCACAATTAACAATATGATTTCTAAAAAGATACAGACATTTATAGACTTCCTTATAGAATTTATATAGATATACAGATATATTTGATTATTCATATGTATATTTATATATACACAATTGCACACACTCACAAACCCTAGCACTTTAGGTATGGGGAATATTACAATAATAAAGCAAAGAAAACTATTGTTTCAATTAGTTTTTAATATTCTATAAATATGAGTCAATATAGTTATAATTTTTCTCCTGTAACCAACTTGACCATAAAAATTAAATGGATATTAAAATGGGGTATTTTACAGAAAGTGTGTAAAATAAGAGCTAGAAGGTAAGCATCGTAATCTATATAATTATATAATTAACAATTTTAAACCCATATATAGGAAGAATCATGGAATAAATGACAGCAGATAGATGCCTAAATATCTTAAATCAAATCAAATCATCATTATAAGCATTGGAAAAAAGCAGGTTTGGGGCATAATTAAAAGTCTTTTTAACTATTACTCAAACTCAAAAGCAATAAAATATCCAAGAAAGCTAATTTCATAATAATTTTTTTAAAAGGTTTCAGGGCCAACAGACTAAACAAGTTAAAAGTGAGATTTTCTGCCTCTTGTATCATTTGATAAATGCTGTTGAAACAATTTGGCCTCTTAAATAAAAAAAAAAACAATTTGGCTACAAATAATAACCATTGACTGGAAAAATACAAAAAAATAATTTAACTATTGAGTCTACTGGAATTCACTAATGTAAGATAAGCATGGTGGTGCCTACCCGTAATCCCACTTTCTGGGAGGCTAACGCAGAGGATCACCTTTCAACTACAACCTGGCAAACATAGCAAGAACAAATAAATGAAAAAATAATGTTTTTAAAAGGCTGGGGAAGTAGCTTTGTGTGAAGTCCATGGGTTCCATCCCCAGTACTTAAAAAAAAAAAAAATAGGCAATGATTAGATAGGTAGATGATGCACAGATAGATAGAGAAACCTATTGAGTTTATCTGTTTACTAATCAGTGAGTAAATGCAAGCAGATCCATGAAAGATCACACTTGAAAAAATGACTTTTCACTTTTAAAAATGACTTTGAGCTTAAGTGCAGGCTTTGTTTGGGCCCGTGCAAAATGATTTGAGCCAAAATAACTGCCTGCTGAAATAAAACATTTTGTACTCCTTTTTTATTCCTGTTATGAAAATGTAAGAGAATCAGTCTCTAGATACAGCAGGATAAGCTTCAAACTTGTTAAACATATAATCAAACAGGTGCATATAAACCTACTTAAGTAAAAAAGACAGCCAATAGAAAGTAAACCTATGATAGCCCAGATGCTGGAGTTCGAAGATAATGACTTTAAAGTACACTTTATGATGCACAAAGGAAAACATAAATGAGATGAAACATTGCCTATAGAGGAAGCAAATAAAAGTATAGGAACTGAATAATACATTATCCAAAACAAAAACAACTACTGAATAGATGTAGATTTAGGCTTTCAAAGGAAACTATAATAATTAGACTTGGGAGGGATCAATAGCAATGAATAATCTGAATACAAAGAGACTGGGGGATAAACAGATTAGACAGCACCTGTGAGACAGTAGGAGGAAGTCTAAAAAAGGAATAGGTGTATTCTTCTATGGATAAAAAGTTACACATACAAAGGACAAATGCTTTTAAACCATTTAAAGGAGACAGAAAGCATCTAGAAACAAACCCAAACTGGAAGCACGTTTCTGCTTGCTACACTGCACACACTGAGTTTTATGGCCAGCAGCTCTGGTGGGATCTGTGATGGGATCTGAAGGGATCTGTGATGATGGCTGTGGAATCCTCCAGCCTCACTGCCCCAGGGTAGAGAACAGGAGGAATCACCCTGCAGGGCTGAGTAGAAATCTTCCCTGAGTGCCTGAAATGTACAGACCTATGCGTGAGGCGGGAGAGATTCCTGCAAGACCTGAGGGAAAAACCAGTGGAGAAGAGAGAGAGAGACCTATTCTTAAGAGGCAGACAGGCCTTCCTGAAGTTGCTGGTTTCCTCAGTGTGTGTGGCTCAAGTGCAGAAAGTTATAGGCCTCTAGTTTTGAAGAGCCAGAGGCCAGCACAGCGCTAGAAACCAGGAGGGGAGTCTGGGAAAAGGAAAACCCACAAAGGAAAAGTCCCCAGTCTGAGTATGATCCTATGCAAGTCCATAGCTAACCACTAAATCATATGCAAACAAGGGAGGTCCCAGGGGCTGGCTAAAGATGCAGTAGCTAGACGCCCCAAAGGACAAATGGAAATACGAGCCACGTAACACAGGGAAGTCAATGTGTTCCGCTTGGGCCCAAGTAAGTTCTCTAGTAAGCAACACCTGCAGAGGGCAGTTGAATCCAGAATGACTAAAATGCATTTCCTATGATACTGTCTTTGCAAACAAAACTTTTATTTCAATTCTTTGCATATATTAATACCAGATGATTTGGAATCAATCTTAATCCAGCATTTAAGTTCTTATTCTCTTTTGGAAATCCCTGTATATCTGCTACTTTGTTGCAATTAAATGCACACACAATAAATTTGTAATAATTGGAGATAAATTTAAGGCAACCTCGGCCACAAATAATGCTTTTCAAAAATAGTGAACAATAACAAATACCTCTGAGACTGTGCTTATCCCAGCATAATGTGAATACATTATACCAGGGAGCAAAACAACTTATAAATAAAGTGCTGTGACGCATGAATATCGGGAGATTCCATGCACTGTTTTAATTGGGCTCCAATAATTAAGCAGTATAGACTGAGCCCTGATCCAAATGATTCTTCACAGTTGTGGAAACTGGAAGTCTGGGTTGAGGATACCTGTGTGGTTGGGTTCTTGTGAGAACCCGCATCGGGCCTGCAGACTGCTCAGCTTCTCACTGTACTCTCACTGAGCATAGGAAGAATGAGGCAGCCCCTTTTGGGTCTCCTCACAGAACCACTGATACTGCTCTTAAGACCTCCCTCCTCAGGACTCAAGCACTCCCAAAGTCTCCAGCTCATAACACCAGCATGCTGCAGATTAGGATTTCAAAATCTGATGCCTGCAAGAGATGCACAATTGTTTCCAGTCCATTGCAGCAACCGAGCAGGGTAAAAGTGTGATTTGAGAAGTTTAAAAAAAAAAAAAAGCAGCGAGCTTGATGAAGAGAAGTCGAAAAGTCTGGTGCAGGCAGTGTGGCTGGATAAAGTTCAACCTCCTTGTACTCAGTCTGACTCCACTCTTACCTTTGTAGTTTGTGGTATATTTATGATTCCTCCAATGCTTCTCCTGAAAATGAAAAAATACCCCCACTGCTTGCCTGTCAAGATGAGACTGTAGCCTAACACTGTGGACTCTAGAAAAAGCAGTGAGACTTAGAGACATATTGGTGAGACCCAAAAAAGAAAAAAGAAAAACAAGAAAGAAAGAAGGAAAGGAAGGAAGGAAGGAAGGAAGGAAAGAAGGAAGGAAGGAAGAAAAGAATCCTCTCAGATGTACCCCTTAGGCAACGTGACCACTTGCAATGCAGACTCTAGAACTTAGGAATGCAACTGTGTCACTGGCCTATTCTGAACTGGGTGAATTAGTGTTCCCTTCTGAC